CGGAGACTGTAATCTTCTAAAAATGGAACTAATGTGCAAATATATCCCTATTAACTGGTATGCAGGTGAAAAGGACAGACACTCCATTAGGAGGAATATCTTTTTTTTTTTTTTAATGTTTATTTATTTTGGGTAGGGGGAGGGACAGCGAGAGAGAGAATCCCAAGCAGGCTCCGTGCTGTCAGTACAGAGCCTAACAAAGGGCTCGAACTCATGAACCGTGAGACCATAACCTGAGCCGAAATCAGCAAATATTAATTATTAGCATTGTTTTCTAAAGTCTCTTTGCTATTTGAAATTGTTATGTATAAAGTCTGTTACAGCTATTACTAAGATCTAATTTTCTTCCAGTTATGTTGAGATATAATCGATATGTAACATTGTGTAAGTTTAAGGTATACAGTATAATGATGAGACACAGATGTTGTATATACACATGTCTACACAAGTTTCGAAATGATTACCATAGTAAGGTTAGTTAACACACCCATCACCTCACACAGTTACAATTTTTTATGGTGAGGACAATATCTGATTTTTATGTTTTCTCCTACAAAATATTCAGGAGAAATACACGGAAAGATTTATGGGGACAACGGCTAACAAAGCAGATGACTAACTCTAAATCCTTCAGGGCACAGGCATCTGGGACGGCAAATTCTAACATCTGCACAATGCTGATCCTTTCTCTAAAAAGTACATTCCTTTTTTTCTTGCCCTGTTTCCACATTCTCATTACCGCTACAGGGAAAGGCCCAAGAGGAGAAAATCCGTCCCTGGCTTTTCTAACAATGAAAACTTATCAGAGAAGGCAGGCGTGAATAGGAGAATAACAGCTCCGTGATATTTTCGGCACTGCAATCTTACACTCTTCGTGGGAGCTCCCCACTCAACACCACCAGAGTGCCCTGCCCCCCCCCCTTTTTTTTGTTTTGTTTTTTTTTGGGGGGGACAGAGAGAGGCAGAGCATGAACAGGGGAGGGGGAGAGAGAGAGGGAGACACAGAATCGGAAGCAGGCTCCAGGCTCCGAGCCATCAGCCCAGAGCCCGACGCGGGGCTCCAACTCACGGACCGCGAGATCGCGACCTGTCTGAAGTCGGACGCTCAACCGACTGCGCCACCCAGGCGCCCCCCCGTTTTTTTAATCAGTGCTTCCCTGCCTCCCACAATTATTCATGCAGCCCTGCTGAATAATTCGTCTTCCCTCTGCCTGGCATAACAACAAAGCTAAGAAGCAGGAAGAACGCCACTTAAAGGCAGGTCAGACAATGATGTAATGAACAGATCAAGGAGACGTGTTATTTCAGAAAGCCCCATACAGAAAGAAAGAGATGGGCTGACTTCTTGGGTCGTGACATTACCAGGAAACTACAGTTGCTAAGGCACACATAGCTAAATCAAAATGTTTGCTCCAAATGGATACAAACATGTATCTGTATTACCCTCTCTTCTGAATGTCAGAAGTTTCCTATAGAAACTTTAATTAGAAACAAATTTAAAAGCAGCTTGGGAGAGGACTCCCTTCCATCCCACACTAAGCAAGGTGCAGCAGGTATGTTTTCATTCGCCTTTGCCAAATCCTTTTCTCAAAACCCCAGTAATGTAGGAAACAAAGTCAACCCCACAAAGAACTGAATTCTGAATTCCACACGTTAGGTGCTAGTGATGTAAAGGTGACCGAACCCAGACTCCACTTACAAGGAGTAAGCTTGTTGAGGAGGTTGTCAACAGATAATGTTCTATAATGATAACAGAGGACAATTTGTGGGTTTCTATGAAGCTTTGACCACAAGTCCAGCAAAGAGATGAATGAGAGATGATGTGTTCTTTCTTCCCCCAAAGACAAAGAACCAGTTGAGTAAAAGTCTGACCCTCAAACTCATGACTGCAGAGGAGATGGGAACCAAGGAGACACGGGTTTAAGAGTATGTTCTTTAACAAATGCTACAAAAGCCATGTGATCAGCAGTATCCCCAGCTGTGAACAAGAGAAGTATTTTGCACTTAGGTTGTTGTGATTTCAGTTCAAGGAAAGAGGTCTCCTCGTAAACGAGAAGTTTCTCATTCCGTGTTGCAAAAACGTTGGCCGCTTTTACTTTCTTTAACGTATAGCCTCCCGTGTCTTAAGAACCATTGAAATGCGATGTGCTGGGTTTAGAAATATGCATCGACCCAGCGAAAGCAAATGCCAAAGTTAATAAAAATAGAACATTAGTACAGACCTCCTGCCTGTACCTAAAGGTGAAAAAGCAAATTAAAAATTAAATAATTAAATTAACTTTGGTGAGGTTATGCCTCTTCAGGTTACTTAACACTCAGATGACATATGGGAAACATTACCAAAAAAAAAAAAAAAAAGTCAAGATGACAAACATCTAACATACTCGGGTAAAACAACATGACTGAATAGAAGCTTCCAGAAATTAAAGCAGGCATCCCTGGAAAACAGTCCCAGCACTCAGGACTAATGACTGCAGATGCCTACTCCCCAAAGCTCAAAGTGGAAAGGAGGATTTGTGTGGCATTTTGGCTCCTTTCCCATATCCAAAATAATCAGTTGCACAAAGTAGGTTTAGTCCCAAAACTGTCTGGACTTTGTTCCTTCACCAACATCTGGGTTCAGCAGGATTCCTGACCTCTACCTCAAACTGGCGATTTCAAACACGAAGAACCTCACTGAACAAGAAAGTAATGTCATAAGTCAAGGCCACGGGAAACACAGAAGCCAGAATTAGTAGAAACACCACGGAGCAATGATTCTGAGGTCCTTATAAATGCTCCTAAATACTTAACACATTAAACCTGCTTCTCAAAATCGAAAATTTAAATTTACCTTCTCAGATTAAAAGTACTCATCTTCTTGAAGAGAAAGGTAGTTTTCAGGAAGCTAAGTGGTCTTATTATATAGAGAAAACAAGCTTTTTTTCCTCTTTCTTTCTAGATAAAGGATAATTTTTCTCTCTGCTGTCAAGTTTGGCTCAGAAAACCTGGTTCACAATCTGGGAGACCCAAAAACTAATTATTAAAAAAAAAAAGAAAAAAGACGTGTCTTAAACTGACCTACTTTGAAAGCCTGGATGCCTTTAAATTGCCAATGAACTAAAGCCATTCATGAGAATGGAGCTTTTGAATGCTGAGAATGTTCTGTGGGGCTCAGTGCAAAGATATTTGGCACAGACGACTATAAATATTTGTAAAACCCTGGGTAAATGGACAGTGCTTGACCACACTCACACCTCACCTCCAGCACAGTAGTGTAGGAGCAAGTTATCTAGGGTGATTGGTTTGGGGGCTTGGGGGGTTATGTTTTCTCCTGTTTGTTTTATTTTTTTTTTCAACGTTTATTTATCTTTGGGACAGAGAGAGACAGAGCATGAACGGGGGAGGGGCAGAGAGAGAGGGAGACACAGAATCGGAAACAGGCTCCAGGCTCTGAGCCATCAGCCCAGAGCCCGACGCGGGGCTCGAACTCCTGGACCGCAAGATCGTGACCTGGCTGAAGTCGGACGCTTAACCGACTGCGCCACCCAGGCGCCCCTCTCCTGTTTGTTTTAAATAAAAAGTTCAAGCAGCCCGATTCCGCGACTTGACATCTGTTTTACACTTACATTCTCTATATACATGTGTACATTGTTTACTCATCACGACAGTTTCAATTCATCAGAGGCTACTTTAGAAACAGAAGGGTTCTTCTCTTTCCTATTTCTCCAAGTGTGTGCCCGCCACAAGGGAAAAAAAGACCAGTCACAGGTGTGCAAGGGTAAAACCGGAGGCCTGTGAAAACGTGGCCTTGGATTTCATACAATTATCCCAATGGGGCCCATGGTTCTGCTACATCTATCTTTCTTGTCCCCTCCCCCTCCTCAAGATCATTTCAGAAATAGTTACGGGGCTGCTACTTAGGAAAAGGACTAGGGCTGGGAAGAGGGGACAGGGTCAGCAGATGGAGGGAACAGAGCAGTGAGATCTGAAAGGGACCAGGGACCCGGAGGCTCATCTCAGTGCACACTGCAGCAGCCAGATACTTTAATTAGCTAGCAACTCTGTGAAGGCTGGCTGGGTTCCTTTTTCCTCTTACCCACACCCTAAAAACTGAGTCATCTCAAAGTTCATTTATTTTGCTTCTGGGCCTAGACCCCCCCCCTCCCGCCCCATCTGCTGTTTCATAAATGTGAGATACATTGTTCTTTAATTCAGACCTTGCAGACTTCAAACAAACATCCAGAAATGCCACCTTAGAACACTGATAGTCCTATGGGGACTCCCAGCTAACGTCTAATCAGATACCTGCAGCAGAAAGAAATAAGAAAGTGACCCACGGTAGTGAGAGCATGAAGACAGAGGACATTTTCCCAGACAGGCAAATGCATTTCTGAGAAATCTGAATGTAAGACGTGCATGCATCAGGAGTAGACTCACAGCAGGACCCCCCAAAGTCACAAGGAAAGCAAAAGGTGCCCCGAGGGGAGAAAGCTCAAGATCCCTTTTCTCTGCTGAGACAGGAATCCCTTTCATTTTAACCTAACACTTGGGAACGGCAATACAGGATCCGAGTTTCACTCCGTCTTATCAGCAACTGCCTGACAAAATAATCGCTATAACGTACGGCCAAGATCCCATCTCATTCCCATCTACGCGTGTCAACACCGTGCTGTGTGCGTTTCCAAAGAACGGAAGGTCAACATCGGAGATGATGCCAACTTCTGGTCTCCCCTTAAGAAAGACACCGGGGAGGTCTGACCTAATCTTGCATTTGCCAATCGGTACATTTCGCAGAGGCCGTTTTACTGGAAACGACACCGGTTTCTCTTCGACCTTTTCCAGGGGCGTCTATTTTTCAAAGTTAACAGGTGTCTCAGGCGTTCGGAGGGAATCCCACTCTGTGCGCTGTTAAGCAGAGGAGGCAGAAAAGAAAGCTACAGACCATGGAGTCCGGGTCTCTCCGTCCTCGCCCGCCCGCCCGCCCGCCCGCGGCGGCTCAAGCGCTCGGCGACACCTACCTGGCGGGAGGGCTCGGTTCCTCCGGGCGCCGCCGGGGCTTCTCAGCAGCCTGGCCCGCGCGCCCCGGGGAGGCGGAGCCGGCTCATTCCCTCCGCGGTCCTCCGGGCTCCGCGGCCCCAGCTCTGCACCCCGCGGGACGGCAGTGGGACCGGGGCGGGGGGGGAGGGGGGGTGCAGCCGCGGACGGGAGGGGGGAGGCGGGGAGGAGGGCCGACAGGCGCCCGCTGCCCCCCCCGCCCCCCGGCGAGCGGCCGCGACGCCCTGGGCCCCGTGGAGCGCAGCTCACCAGCGGCGGCGCCGGGAGCCGCGCGTGTATTTATACAGGAAGCTCAATCGCGGCACTTCCTACTTCCCATCTGGGTCGCCCTGGAGCCGCAGGTGATGCTCTTTTAACCCCGTGCGGGCCCGGCCCCCAGCGCGCCGCCCCCCACCCCCCACTCCCAACCGCCCGCCCCTCCTGCGCTCGCTCCAACGCCCCGGGACCTCTGCCGCTCGCCCTTCTGGGGCGGCTGCCGCCGAAATCCGGGGCAGGGAGTGTGGCTGCAGCCCTCCGCGTCCTTCATCCTGCCCAGACCGGGGGGCATTTCCCCTCTTGGCCTCCCAAGCTTGTTGCTTCTCTGCGCCTGTCCTGCCGGGACACCTTCGCCCTCCCTCCCGATCCCGGCTCTTTAACTAGCCTTCTTCTGCTGCCGGGAACCCCCGACCTGCCTTCCCAGAAAACGGTTTTGTATAGACACGCTTCCCCGCGCGCGTCTTCTCAAAAAACACCTTGTACCTGATTCTGGCCTTTGGGGGCTGGTGAGGAAGTCAGAACGCAGGCAAATCGAATCAGCACAGGCTTCGTTTACCTCCTAAAATTAGAGGCACGCCTTGATGACTATAATTTTGCTTGAAGTGCTTTACGGAAAAATTATGTGGGAGCCCATTGTAACCTAACAGGTTGTATGACGTTGAAGAAAAGGTGACACAAATATCCAGAAACCGTAGGGTAGGGTATGCTATGGTGTGCCTTCCTCACTGCAAAACCTTGGACACTTACTGTGTGTGATGTGGAAAACATGATGATCTATCTGTTCAGTCCCTGCCAACCAGGCCGCCCCCACTCCCACCCCCAGCCCAGGTCACAATCGTAGTCCCAAATCTGTCGAACGGCTGCAATTTAGAAATGTCGCTGCTCTGATTCAGGAATCTTTCTGTACTCGAGACTCAAGCTCACTGTGCTTTTACAAAGGCAGTCAGGAATGTGCTTCCTAAAAGGAAGGGACCCACACGCCCTTGGTGGAAGGGCTCTGAGCGTGCCAACAAAGCAGTGGCAGTGAGCTCCGGGCCAGCCAACACAAGTACGCTGCTTCTCAGCCCTCTGTGTTCAAGAAAACCTCCAGGTCGAATCCGAGTGTTGAAGAACACAGCTATCTAGGTGCGTGATGGCAGGACAGGCCTTGACCAGTCCCTTAGTAGGGGAAGAAGGGAAGGCAGGCAAGGGAAATAAGACAGCAAGAGAACACAAAGTGAGGAGGGACCCAGAGTAATAGAATCGGGGAACGTTTGAGATTGAAAAGTTGTTCTGGCTACTTTCATCCAAATGCCTAATTTTCAAGGCAAGGAACCCGATGTCCAGGGAGATTTAAGTGGTAGGCTAGAACCGGATACGGGCAGAGCTGGAATGAGACCTGAATCCCTGTTAGGGGAAAAAGGTGCCTGTGAATAACCACCCCATGTGGTCTAACCTCAGATTTAGCAGAGTAGCTCAGGTTCTAAGATAACCAACCTCCAGCCGTTTCCTTAGAAGAGTGACCACTGCCGATGGACTGGAGTCAGGGAAGAGAAACAAACCTCCTTCTGAGAGGTTAGTTTATTCATTGGTGTCCGTGCAAAACTTTGACGCCTTAAACCAAAGTTCAACACAGAATCCACTTTTTAAATTATCATGCAGTTAAGTTAGAATCTTTTGTCAACTGGATAAGGCAAGAGACTGCTGCCATGAAAACATAGGTTAAGCGATAATCATGCTGCCTGTTGTGCCAAACGGCAAGAAGAAAGGGGAAAAAATGCATAGTTAAATAACATCTGCATCGATTATTTTCACCATGCAGGTTTATAAAAATCACGTTAAAATTTTAATCCAAGTCAACATGTAGAACACTACAGTATTATGTGAACAACTTTTTCAGATCTGGAATAACATACCTAGGAATAAACGTAAGCAAGGAGGCGAAAGCCCTGTACGCGGAAACTGTAAGAGATGGACGAAAGAAACTAAAGGCACAAAGACTGGAAAGATGTTCTGTGCTCACGGACTGGAAGAATAAATACTGTTAGAATGTGCATCCTATCCAAAGCAATCTACAGATTCAGTGCAATCCTATCAAAATTCTGATGGCAATTTTCACAGAAACAGAACCTACAATCCTTAAATTTGGGTGGAACCACAAAAGACCCCCAAAGCAGTCTTAAGACAGAACAAAGCTGGGGGCGCCCCAGGTGGGTCACTCAGTTAAAGCTTCTGACTTCAGCTCAGGTCACGATCTCATGGTTTGTGAGTTTGAGCCCCACGTTGGGCCTGCTTGGGATTCTATGTGTCCATCTCTCTGTCTCTGTTCCTTCCCTGCTTGTGCTCTCTCTCTCTCTTTCTCAGAAATGAGTAAACATTAAAAAAAAATTTTTTTAAATCAGTTGAGCAAATTTGAAAAAAAAAAAAGAACAAAGCTGGAGGCATCACGGTTCCTGATTTCAAGCAATATTACAAAGCTATACTAATCAAAACTCTTTCAGATCTGCCTAATGCGTCTATAGTGTGCATTCATTGATTCTCTCGAGCATTTCTTGATCTCCTCCCAGACAAGCTGCTAGATGCTAGAAAGACAAAGGCAAATCGGTTCCTGTCCTCAAGGAGCTCTTAGTCCAGGGGAGGAGTCAGACAAGAAAAGCAATGATCAGGGTACCATGATGAGTGAAATGATAAAATGATGCTCTATGGGAGCACAGAGAAGGGCAATTTAGCTAAAGGAAAGGGTTGGTGAAAACAATCAAGAAAGGCTTCCCTGAGAGAGGGACTCAAAGCTGTGTCTTCAAGCAGCCGAGTGGGGAAGGTGGAGAGAGAAGAATGAGCCAGAGGCAACAGACAGGGCAAGGAGCTAGGTGGTGCTTGTCATAAGTCAGAGCAGATGCAGTCAGAATGTAAGAATGATGGCCTGAACCCACATAGTAACAACTGGCACAGAAAGGAAGGGGACGAACAGAGAGAGATTTGGGAAAGAGAAGTGATGGGGCCTGATTGGATGTGGGGGGGAGGGGGGAGAGGAGCCCAGGTTATGAGTGCCACCAACTGAGAGTAGGAATGGAGGAGAAGCAGTTATGTGGAAAATGATGATGCACTGAATCATTCAGAATCTGAGGGGCCTCTGGTACATGCTGGAAGACTTGTCTCATAGGCCATCAACAGAGAGATCTGGAATTATCATCATTTAGGTGGTGGTATGGATGAGCTCACCAAGAGTTGAGATCACCCACAAAAGGTAGCATGCTGTGGGGAAGCAAAGGCTTTGGACCCATCCAAACTCCATTGCCCACTCATTACTGTGTAACCTTAAACAAGTTTTAACATACCCCAAACTCAGTTTTCTCTCTCATCTATAAAAGAGGAATGATGATATTCATCTCCTAGGTTGTTATGAGGGTAAACAAGCGGTTTGTAAAGTAGCTAGCACAATGCCTGCTGACACCACCCAAGTCTTGGGGGCAGTGAATGTCACCTCCTGGAATTGTGCAGTACACAACCTGTTCAGCTGTACAGCATGGCCCTGTCTTGATACATAATAAGAGCTCGGTCAATGTTATTCATCTAAGGAAGGAAAATAGGAAGCAAAAAGAAAGGGATCAGAAGAGAACCCAAAGGAACACCAGGATTTAAAGGGTAGGTTAAAAAAAGAGCCCTCAAATAAGGGTGAGAAGGAACTACTTCTTTTAGACCACAAAAATAAATATCACATTTGAGAAGTAAAACCCAGCCACTACGATCTATCAAAATATTTTTTTCTGATCAGTAATGACACAATATTACAACCTGTCCACATGAGACAGCAGTCCTGTTGATATTCATAATAGAGAATCATTTCTTAGTCTGAATTACATACCTCCATAAAGAAAAAGCAAACAAAATGTTCACATTAACCGTAAGTAATCCAAACTGTGACAGGAATCCATTAGCTTGTCATATACCTGAAGTCATATAAAAGCAAAACCAAAATAAATTCAAAGCATATTCTCCCTACATATGAGGCCAAAAATATATCTAGAAATAGAATTACTAGCTTTCTCAACACGTACGTGTAAGATGCTACATAATAATATATACCATACTATATGTAGTATATAATAGATATATATTATATATTATAAAATGCACTGAGGTCCTACATAAGAAGAGAATCAAATGGAATTTCTTTTCAAAAATTTCTTTAATTAATATAAAGAAAAATCGGGGTGCCTGGGTGGCTCAGTCGGTTGAGCGTCAGACTTCGGTTCAGGTCATGATCTCTCAGTTGGTGAGTTCGAGCCCCACGTCGGGTTCTGTGCTGACAGCTCAGAGCCTAGAGCCTGCTTCATATTCTGTCTCTGTCTCTCTCTCTGCCCCTCCCCTGCTCACTCTCTCTCTCTTTCTCTCTCAAATATAAATAAACATATAAATATTTCTAAAAAATCAAGATTCACTTATGCAGCTGAAATTACTCTTCTGATACACCTTAGTAGGTAAATTAGTAACACATACCTTAGATGTGACACCTTAATTACATCCTGTGTTAAAACCTAAATTAAAGGAAAAGATTTGTTCAGTTTCAAAAAGTCAGATGAAAGAACACAAGTATTGAGAAACCAGCTTCTGCAATAAAGTGCAATTCTGTGCACAGGAAAACATTTAAGGCAAAGGTCACGGTGTCCTGCTGCTGACAATTTGGCCGTTTCTCCTTTCCGAACAGCTATAATTTTATTTGCATTTTTCTGGCGCATCTAATGGTGCTCATTTATACATTCAATCACCATTTACTGAAAGTATTGAGCACAGAACTAAGAGTGAGACACAATACAAAATAAGACTTAAGAACACCACAAAACAATATGATAGAGACTATTCCAGAGATACGCCCAGGATGATGTCCAATT